TTTTAAATTCATCGTTGCAGAATATCATTTCGGGGATTGTCGATTATGTTTGGTGTGTTTATTGTAAGTCGGAATTATTATATATTATAATGATGAATACCTCTAGATAATTCAAATGAATATAATGACTAACAGACTCTATTTTTTAAATAAAAAAAGATCGTAGGGTAGGATAACCTTTTTTTTAAAGTGAATATGATTATATGAAAGACCGGCAGAAAAAGACCGGCAGGAAAAAAAGACCGGCAAAGAAAAACCGGAAGTGAGTTAAACTCGCATATAGTGATAACTACTTACATACACATGTTGATACATTGTTATAGTGAGGATGATTTTCTCTCAGACATCTCCTGTCTGTAGCTTGGTGTGATTGGTCTTTTGCAGACTGGCATTCCATCTTTCACTGTCTGCATGCTGTCTTTCACTGTCTGCATGCTGTCTTTCACTGTCTGCATGCTGTCTTTCACTGTCTGCATGCTGTCTTTCACTGTCTGCATGCTGTCTTTCACTGTCTGCATGCTGTCTTTCACTGTCTGCATGCTGTCTTTCACTGTCTGCATGCTCTTTCACTGTCTGCATGCTGTCTTTCACTGTCTGCATGCTGTCTTTCACTGTCTGCATGCGTAGGAGGCTGCAGCTAATCTCTTCCAGTTGACTGTGTCAATGTTGGTATCTTTCAGGTCATGTCCTTACCTTGGCCTTCCTGCAGATCTTTTCCTTGTTACCAGTTCACTAAACAGGAGATCCTTTGAAATGCGACCATCCTCCGCGCAAAAAAGACATGTCCTAGCCATCGCAGGCTTATCTGCTTCAGTAAAAAATACATTGTTGGCATTCCTGCTGTTTTCATTCTACATTTATTGGGGACAAAGTCTTGCCATGTTTTATGTTATTAGTAGAGTCTAGGTCACAACTGGGATGCAGAGTGTTAATCAAATGTGTCTAACGTACAGGACTGATCCTGGTCGAGATTTGTGTACACCTCTCCACAGTCATCTTACAAACAGGATCCCAACCACGAACTTGGCCAAAATAGATAGGATCAGCATTTTCTTCACTTCACAGTCAGAGTGCAAGGAACCAGTAGTCAGCCCACAAATAAACCATATCTGTAAAACAAATGTGCACACAACACTCAAGTCCTGGAACAAAATCAAAGTCTAGAAGAGGAGGAACCGCCACGATTTTCTATCAGAGTTTACAGTCGATGAATGCAAAAAAGGAGATCATAGTTAACAGTACAGCTCTTCACTACTTTCTTTACTGGTAAAACAAAATTGAAGACGCGACAGAGAAGAAGGTTTTATTTGTAGTAAATATAGTTGTGTGCTAATACATGTCTAGATTTAATTAAACTTCAAATTGTCTTCTGTCTAGGCTGTCTAAGAAAGCAAAGAAGAAACGTCGAACGAAAGTCTTGCTTGATGTGAGTATGTTTAATTGGTTAATTACTTCTTTTAATAATGAGGAATGTAATAGACAGCGGGGAAAGCAAGTAAAGATTTTATATAGCTGTGTTATTTTGTTGGAGCCTGAGGTGCATTTAGGGGCAGTGACTTATCAGACAGCAGTGATGGAGACATAGATGAAGTAGAGGGCGGGAGAATAACATTTTCTTTCACTCTCCCGGCAATTAGTTATATGTACTGGGTAAACCAGTGTTTCCCTCTGTAGGCGCTACCATCCCGATGGGAGTGCTGGAGCAGTACTGGCAGCCCCATATACCCCAAAAAAGAAATCTGGCAGAAAAAACTACCACCCCATAACCCCCCCCCCCCTTTCCCCCTTCCCCTCCCATACAGCAACAGTGAAGACATACATGAAGTAGAGAATGGGAGAATACAATTTTGAAACAATGAGTGGATTGGCTCTCTGGCAGGGACACGGTAGGTACAGGAAAAATAATAGACCAGGCCAACATTCTCAGTGCTCTCAAGAAGGTAGGGCGAGAAGATGATTTAAGAGAGGACATTTAATCGGCAACACTCAAAAGACAGCAAGAAAATCAGGTCAAAAGAGGTGTCGCCAAACATGAACACTATACAGAGAAGAATAGTACATCAACACAGAACTGATGATAAATCAGTCGCCACAAGCTGAAGATGGGATCCAAGCGCTTACAGACTTGTCCCATGTGCAATGAGGATCATCTTTCAATTAACTAACAATTTTGTGATCAATAGGAAGTCAGTCATAACTATATACTTTACTTTAGGAAAAGTGACTAAACAAGTTTTTTGCCATCTTCTTAGTGTTCACTTGCTGTAAGCTCCGGCATAAAGTTCTGGCTCTTCATCTAATTCTGGACTTTAGTCTTGTTCCAGAACTTGGTGTTTGTGTACACATCCATTTTACAGATCTGGCTTATTTGTGTGCACACTTTTGGTTCCTTGCCTCTTATGCAGATGCATTTGAACTTCAAAAGAAATCACCCCTAATTGGTCGACTTTTATGACATGCTTGTCGGGGGCATTGGGTTTATTCGTCCCCCTCCCCCCCTCCACAAAGAGGCCCCAGAACCTACATGGGGACTTTTGCTTCTGGGGGGTGAACATGTGTGTGTATGGATCCAGATTGCAACTGTGTCAGTTCTGAGTAAGAGTAATCATATATTTGCTGCCATTAACAACTGCAGACTTTCATTAATAAGTGCTAATCAAAAAGACCCTTTTCCACCCCATTAGGCATATAGGGCTAGACCTATTTTTTTTTTATAGACCAATCGGCACAAGATGGGTGATGTGGTCAGTATCACACCAGCCGCCTTTACTTACCCGAGTTGCACCCGGTACCCACTCAAGCAAGGTCATTTTTTTAAGAAAAAAAAGTCCAGCTGCGCCAGGAAGCAAACCCATGACCTTCCGATCTGCTATGAGCGTCTAGCCGCTCAGCCACGGCGACTCCCATAATTGCTAATGCCTATGTTTTATCTGTTTTCAGGCAGAAGAAGATATCTTGTGTGAGGAAATAGCAGAAATTAATTTGTCTAATGATATTATCAGTGCAAGGTAATTTGTTTGCTTTGTGTATGTGTATTTTTTGTTTGTTTTTGTTGTTGATTTTTTTGTTCTTTGACAATAATTTGGTTATTGTATCTACAAATGGAATAGTTTGCCAGGAAACATGCGCAGTCCGATGACTAGAGCAGTTGCCATCTTCACATAGCAGGTTAGAGGGCGTTCTAAATAAATAAAAAAACGTGTTATCGGGAGGATGCATCACACACTAGCCAAGTATCTAGAGGGTTTATTTATAATTTTCAGTCCTCCACACATACACATAAGGTTCCCTAAGATGACGAACCATGTCTGCCCACTCTCATTGGCACGGCACATGCTGATGCTGATTATAACTGGAGCAAAGGACGGCCAGCTCCTCAGGGGCACTTAAAAATGCCAGGCACAAGCAACAAGTTAACACTTCTTCGCGTTTCCACCTCTGGACTTTAGACTTGTTCCAGAACCTGAGTGTTTGCATTCACATCCATTTTACAGATCTGACTCATTTGTATGCAGACTGTTGGTTCTTTGCCTCTCAAGCGGATGCATTCCGACTGCGAAGGAAACGCCCAGTTTGTCAACTCCTACGACATGCTTGTTGGGTAGGCAGTGGGTCTATTCTTGTTTTTCCCACAATGGAGCCCAAGAACCCATACAGGGAACAAGTTAACACTGTCCAAGAATGCTGTAATATAGTACACCACACCAAGTATGATGTGTCTTCTTATTATGGACGAACACGTTGCGGAGACAACTTCGAACTGGTGATCAGTGACTTACTGTCAAGTCTACTACTTGATTCCATTAGGACCCGAACTCATGACTTTCTGATCCGCAGGCGAGTGTCTAGCTGCGACATCATGGCAGCTCCCTAGATGTTCTAGATGTTAATTTATGCATGTTTTCACTCTTTTTTTGGCGTCTGTTTCTTAGGTATTGCGAATGCACTTCGTAATTCTGAGTTGCTGGGTTATTTTCCAGCTGCTGCCGATTTGGCAGCCAACCACATTGCATTGGTTTCAACTGTGGTATCGAGAGCCGACCGTTTAGAAATAAAATGACAAACTATTGAGTCTACATTTGCCTAGAAAAACCGCAGTGGCTGAAAAAATGCTGGGGTTGGTTCTGCAGTGACCTGTAAAGGAAATGCAGCTAACTTTTAACTCAGTCTGTCAATCTGTCCATCTCTTAGTATTATCCTGCCATGATAATCGATTTCCTATTGTTACATCTCCTTTGTTACGGTTTTCAGAAGAATATTTAAGTTTCTTAAACTTTTTTACTTAATGGCAAAAGTGGAAATTGGTGTTATTGATGATGTTCAAGTTTCTGTGTAACCAAATTATGGATCTTATTCATTCTGATAATTCTTGTTGCACTCTGTATCCTTGTCATATCCTATCAGATTATTTAGTCAAAAGACATTTATAGAAATATGTCCTGGACTTAATTACGTATTTATCACATTAGGTCTATTTATTTCCTACATCTATCGGTTTAACTGTCTGACACACAAATGAATTCATCTAAATATTCAGCTTTCAAATTATTTCTCTTGAAATGACATATTGAAAAATTGTTTGCTGGAAATCATATATGATATCTGTTTCTTTGCACATGTTACAATTGGGGTTCTTTTTCTCACATTTAGTTCCAAGAAGCAGAAGAAGAAAGCTGCAAAGATGAATTCTTTAAAGGTAATTTAAGCTGTAGAGATTTTGAAACCCATCTGAGAAAATGTGAATGGGAGAGAGGGAAAGAGAGACTAACACTTTGTTGTTACTATTATTTCTCTCATTCGTTACTTGTTGAAATCTTCTTCTTTTTCACATTCACCAGAAATAAAAAAATGTTGGAGTGTTCATCCACTTCTGGACTTTAGTCTTGTTTCAGAACCTGAGTTTTGTGGGCACATCCGTTTCACATATCTGGCTTATTCGAATACAGACTCTTGGTTTCTTGCCTCTTGAACAGATGTTCTCCGACTTCGATGGATGTTCCTAAGTAGTTGACTCCTAGGACATGCTTGTTTTTCCCACAGTCAGGCCTGGAACACACATGGAGTAGAGACCAGTTGCTGTAATGACCACTTTTTCTCTAGGGAGTGACAGAGCAATCATTTATTATGTACTGGGGGGAAGAAACCAAGAACTTATTTTATAGACAGAGAGAACATTCTAGAGCAGGGCTGTTTAGCTAAGTTTACTCAGGGGTGGGAGTCGCTGTGGCCGAGCGGCTAGGTGCTCGCTGGGGAACGAAAGATTGTGGGTTCGCTCCCTAGCGGAGCTGGACTTTTTTTAAAATGACCTTGGCTTCCAGGTCGACCCAGCCTAGAGTGGGTACCGGGTGCAGTCCCGGGAAGTAGAGGCGGCCGGCGTGATGCTGACCACATCACCCATCTTGTGCCGATTAGTCTATAAAATATAGGTCTAGCCCTATATGCCCTATACGCCTAATTGCGCGGAAAAGGGACTTTACTTTTTTTTTTTTTTAACTCAGGGCCCAGCATTTTGAAAATTAGGATCGTTGTGGGCCCTAGCCTCAACATAGACAGATCATGAATACAACTGGCAATGATCTGCAGGCCACTTGCTAGGCCTCCACAGGCCGAATTTGGTGCACGGGCCACCAGTTGAAAAGCCCTGTTCTGGAGGGAGATAGAGAGCAAGAATTTATTAAATGGGGGTGAGGGGCTTATTCTGTAGTGAGAAAGAGACAGCAAGAGAGACTAACACTTTGTTGTTACTATTATTTCTCTCATTCGTTACTTGTTGAAATCAAGAACTTATACCATAGGGACAAAGAGTGGGGAAAAGAACTTATTCCAGAGAGAGAAAGTGCAAGAACATATACAATAGAAAAGGAAAGAGAGCACAAGAACATAATATTACTAGAGAAAGAGATAATGCAAGAACTTATTCTGTAACAGGAGAGGGAGTGCAAGAACTGATTCTGTAGGGGAAGAGAAAGTTCAAGAACTGATTCTGTAGGGGAAGAGAAAGTTCAAGAACTTATTCTGTAGCAGGAGAGGGAGTGCAAGAACTTATTCTGAAGTGAAAGAGATAGTGCAAGAACTTATTCTGAAGTGAAAGAGATAGTGCAAGAACTTATTCTGAAGTGAAAGAGATAGTGCAAGAACTTATTCTGAAGTGAAATAGATAGTGCAAGAACTTATTCTGAAGTGAAAGAGATAGTGCAAGAACTTATTCTGAAGTGAAAGAGATAGTGCAAGAACTTCTTCCGTAGCGGAAGAGATAGTGCAAGAACTTATTCCGTAGCGGAAGAGATAGTGCAAGAACTTATTCCGTAGCGGAAGAGAGAGTGCAAGAACTTATTCCGTAGCGGGAGAGAGAGTGCAAGAACTTATTCCGTAGCGGGAGAGCGCGTGCAAAAACTTAATCCCTAGTGGGAGAGAGTGCAAGAAATTATTCTGCAGCATGAGAGAGCGTGCAAGAACTTATTCTGCATTTGTCATAATCTTTGCTATAATCTTCTCTAGAAATGTGAAGCAAGCAAGGTTACAGATGATGTAGAAAACAAACCAGATGACAGTCCAAGTAAAGAGACAACAGATGAGACAGGGAATGAAGAACCAGTTGCTGACACAAAGGTGTTGGTAGAGGACTCAGGAAATGCTGAGCATGATAACCTGACTCCGGATGTAGAAGATGAAAATTGTAAACCCAAAGGGAAAAATAAAACTTCAAAGGTATGTTAATTCAACATACTAACATTTGTTTACAGGTAAAACTTTTTGTAAACAAATAATCACAATAAAGAAATTTAGAATGGTGCAGACGTTCCATTGCCTTGGCTCAGTAATTGAAAACGTATGGCAGGAGTCTTGCAAGAGGTAAGCACAGGACTGAGAGCCTGCTGAGTTGAGGGACAAGGCATCCTATTAGTGTGGCTAACTCTCCTTGACAACTGTGACCAAAGTTACTGCACAACATATAATTGTTGGATTCCTTTTTTATTGTCTTTTTCTTCTTAGCATTCACTGGCTGTTAAATCTGGCTGACGGTTTTGGCTGTTAGGCCACTTATGGACTTTGGTCTTGATGCAGAAATTGACATTTGTGTCCGCTTATGTTTCACAGATCTACTTATTGGTTTCTCGCCTCTCAGGCAGATGCATTGACTTCAGAGATAAAATATACCTAATTAGTCACCTTTTACAGCATGCTTGTTTGGGGGGGGGGGGTAGTGGGTTTCTATCCCCCCCCCCCCCCCCCCACCCCTTCCCACTCACGGGATCCTGGAACCCGTATGGGGGGTTTTGTCTTCTGTGTGCTGGGGTCTGTGTACTTTTAAGTTTTTGGCCTTATTTTCACAGACTGCAAGATTCGATTCACGAGCGCACTTTTTACAGAAATCCCAGGGGATCAGCACTGTAACTATGAAGCTTGTGCTTTGTGTGACACTCTCAGCAGTCAGACATTTCTGCTGAGTGAAACCATGTCATACAGGATTTTGAAGAAAAAAAACTGGTGCAGTCAAAACGATCCTCTTTGAACCTTTTTTGTTATTTCAGAGATTTTTGTTTTTCTGAAACAAATTAATTTTCTGTGTTTTGTTTTTTCTTCTTCTGCAGCCTAAAGAAGCAGTCAGATGTCATGTCTGCCAGCGAGGCTATGTATCCAGGAATAAACTGTTTGAACATATCAAACAGACAGGCCACGCCTTGAGAGTAGATGCTGTGGAAAACGGGAGTGGTGCTGCAGACACGGATGATGACAGAGGAAAGAAAGGAAAAAGAAGAAACAGAAGATGATGTTATCCATACTGTTAATTAGATTTGACTTGTCCTTTAAAATGCCTTGTGGGAAATATCAACTCTGTTTGATATTGTTAATGCAGTCTCAGTCACTGGGGGTTTTGAAAAATAAGTCAAGAACACCATTAAATGAAACTCTTGACCAAATGATGCACTGGCTTTTGAAAATTTAGTTTGACTGGGTTATGCATGCGGCCTCTGCTTTTGCCCTTTAAAACTTGGGGTTTACAACTAGGCTGTGATATCTGTTGGCCCAACACATATGATTTTAGCAAACCGTTTATTAGTCGCCTTTGAAATTTGTGTTGCTAAGGGCTGCTTTTTGTGTGTGTGTGTGTGTGACTTTTGACATGCTTATTAAGAGTGTCTGTAGCTTAGGCGTTGCAAACGTGCTTTGTAATTCCAAGGTGCTGGGTTTGATTCCAGCTGCAGCAAACAGCCTTGCATTGGTTTCAAAACAGGTTATTGAGAGTTGACCATTCGGGAAGCAATGGCAAACTAATGAGCCAAAAATTGCTGAGTGATATCACAAACAGCTAAAAAAAAATGCTAGGCTTCACTCTGCAATATCTCTGTTTGTTATTCCTTGCAACTTAAAAGTCATCCCGGACAAGATCCCAAGTTGTCGAGAGATGGGTGCAAGGTTGTCTGAGCTGCCCTGACTTTTGTTCTCACTCTCTGCTAGCAGGCTAGGCTTTCTCTCACTGCCTGATCTTTTCTTTCACTTCTCATCATGATGAATGGCATATCAATCTGGACTACTTAGCCATGCAAAGGTATAATATTTTACTTCGACTTCTCAAACTTTCTTGACCACTGAATGGCCAGGGAAACAGGCTATCTTTCAAGTTGCAAGGAATAATAAACAGCAACATAATTCTTTTACCACTATCTAGATCTGTTAGAATTATCACAGTTAATGTACTATAAAAATATCACCAGTATTACAAGATATACTATCACTGTTGCGGCTGCCGACAGCCAGTTCACAACCTGAGCTAATTGTTACAACCTCACATAGTTCACCACATGCCCTCCATGAAATGTGTGTACACCGTGACAGTCACACACCTGCTGATTTGCTGGCAGTCCCACACCTCCTGGATCTTCACCCCTACCAGTATCTTGACACCATACAACAATGAGACTGCAGTGTCCTACTAAACATCTGGCAACAAACACCTGCAGAAATCGGATGTATCTGCCCAAGGTGTTTAAAGTGGATAGCTGGTGAAACAGAGGCATCGATGCAAGAGCTGATAAATAAAAACTCACACCCCAGGAGACATGGTTATATACACAGGTGGGTATGTAGCGAGAGGGAAAAATAGTGGGTGGGGGTTTTACAGAGAGTCTTGCTTATAACATCGCACATCCAGTATGAGAATGGTGGTGGTAATGGCAGCTATCTGACGGCTTGAGAGCAGCGAAGCCCAACATGTCATTGTAGCGAACTCACTGAGCATGCCTGGGAAAATAGAAACTGGCATCCTACGCATAGAGTGGCTTGCTTCACTTGATAAGACTCTGATCAGGAGCATATAGTGGATTTTCTGTCCAGGATATTTGGGTGTGCACAGTAATGAGCAAGCTGATAGATTGGCTGCTGTCGCTCCTATGGGTGGTGAGTGATGTTACAATAAAGCAGAAGTGATGAAAGCTCTCTGGGATTAAGTGGACAGTGCAACAGAACAAAGGATCCATACACTGACAGACTAATTTAGGGAGGGCAAGTAGCAGGGTGTCTGCAAGATATTTAACACTGGGGGGAAAACAAAGGTGAACTTTTAACCAGGTTGCAACAGGTAGTAATAGCATATCAAGACTTTGTTGTCTACTGAAGAAGACAGACCAGCAAGTATGAGAATATCCCGAGTACAGGGATGTCAATTCTTAATGCATTTATCCATTCATGGGGTGACATACATAGGATAATAAAATATACGATTACATAGTGGGAGCTGGATGAGAACCTGTGCTCCATTGAAGAGATAAAAGGAAGAAGAGTAGTGGGGAGGTGAAAGGTATATATGTAGACATAATGCTGTAAAATATGAGGATCAAATTAGACCTAGAGTACTTACTCTCCATACACTTTTTTGTTTTGTTTTATTAAACACACACACACACACATAAAAACCAGTTTAGTTTTTGAAAATTTATTCTTCACAAATGATCAATGGATTTTATTACTTTCATTTTATTTTTTGCAATAATACAGTAAGTCATTAAGAGACACTTTGAAGAGAATAAACCGATAAAGAATATGAACATAAATTTCTGACAATATATAGGAGAAAGTTTTCCAACAGCTGCACTCTCATACAAAGCTTCATACTCGACAGCATCAAATAATTTTACAAAGACATTATGTTCAGTATAAAGAATAATAGGTAAAGGACCTATTTCATTAGCACATCAAGCATATGATTGTTTTGTGGGTTTTTTATTTTTAATTCACCCAGTCTCTTCTTAGCATTCATTGGCTGTAAACTCCAGTGGAAAGTTCTGGTTGTTCATCTACTCCTGGACTTTTGTCTTGATCCAGAACTTGAGTTTCACATGCAAATATTTTATAGATCTGGCTTATTTGGATGCAGTCGGTTCTCTGCCACTCAGATAGATGCACTTTGAAGACAACACCCCAAATTAGTTGCCTTTTCTTACATGCTTATTAGAGGGAGTGGGTCTGTACTTTGATCTGCAAAATGCAGCCCAAGAATCCGCAGAGGGAATCGCTGAATGGACATCACACATTTGGGACATTCCTATAAGCTCTCTGTCTCTGGTAGTCTGGTAGTCTTAATTTCAGCTTCATAGCAAACGGGTTGCCCCATCTTTGCTCCGCTCCTGTGCCAGCGAAAAACACTCAGAATGTCTATCACAGTCCCTTGTGGAAAGATTGACAGACTGCTGTCTCAGCATATCTAGCATACACTCGCATTAAAGCATATGGTAGCCATCCGAAGTGCTAACACAAACAGTCCAACATTAGAAATGCAGTTCATCATTGATGATAGCAGAACTTGTCGTCAACAGATCAGCAGTTGTCCGCGTGATCAATTTTAATACGGGTCCCGCAAGCATTGAACGACAGGCATCGCGCCATTTTCTGAATCTACAATTCACACCACGTTGGTCACAGTCGAAAAAAGACATTCCAAATGCAATCCGCAGCTCACAGGGTCACGCCATGCATTCAACTTAGAAGCTGGGCGACGAAACTATATCCAGTCTACAAATGGAGCAAAAATGCATCGGCCACCGTCCGGCAGAAGCAAAAAATTTGCCTCTGTTCCGAACGGCGCTGCTGTCCAGCGTCCATTTTAACCGGAAGTCTCTGTCTCTATCTTGTGTTAGTGCCTTGTGGGAGAGCGTGTACAGTTCAAAGGGGCAGATGGATCACCACAGTCTGGTGAGATTGATGCAGGGGGAAGTGACGAGAGGCTCTGGCAGATGCTCGAGGCTCAAAGGAAAGGCAAGACGGGCGTTTAATCAGAATGCTACTGGCACCATTAGTATCGAAACTCTTCACTGGCTGCTGAAGATGGGAAGGAGTGCTTATCAGAATGTCCCAAGTGCAGTGATGTCAGTTCTTGAATCAACATAACTTAACTGTCCCCATCTTCAGCAGCCAGTGAAGAGTTCCAACTTCAGTGGTACAAGTAGCGGCCTTTCTGTCTGTCTATCGAGCCTTTTCTGTGAGTCTGGAGTGTTGTCCAGATCCCCTGGTCAGTCCCTGTTGTACCATTCTCACAGACCGTAATGATCTAATTGTGCCTCCGCAATGTTCACTCGCCACCAAAAAACCTTGACAACATCTAGTTCGTCATGCATCAATTTACAAGTGAGAGAGGGGTGTATTTTTGTGCACGTTTTTACTGTCTTTGAAACTCAACATTTGCAGATGTGAAAATCAGTTAACGATGTCAAGTAAGCATTGGCAATTAAGGGCCAATTAATAAAATTATTGATTTAATTTGAACAAAAAAAGAATATGCCAGAGCCTGGTTGTTACAAGTCTGGCTTAAAATGGATCATAGTTTGCACATATAAGTGATCCAATCTCCTTTGATAGATGATACAAGAAGAATGTTAGCATAATGCACAAATTCTGAGATGCCACAGTGGGGTGTTTGCAAGAAAGAAAAATGCTCTACATTTATTTCTGTAGTCTTCTACGTCTTTCCCTTTCTTCACCCCAGGATTTGTTAGCAAGTAAGTATGAAAGGCATAAATTTTTTTTTAAACTCAGGACACCCAGAAACAAACAAAAAATATACAATGAAGATTAAAATTAGGACACGAAATTAAACTTTAAAAATACATTCATAAATGAGGTTAAAAATTATGACATGAAAATAACAAATCAATCACTCGCTCTTGTATAGAGACAGCCATCAGGGAACATGCAGATCTGTTAACTTATTTCACTAAGTTAAATGCAAGATAAATATTTCAATAAGTTTAACACAATGTAAATGTTACACTAAGTTTAACACAAGGTAATTATACTTCTCAAAAACAAGTTAAGCAAAAATCTTTGAAGAAGATGGACTGCAAAAATCACTGGCACCATGTTATGGTCAGTGACGACTACAGATTTTGTTTTAACTTCTTTCTTTTCTTTTCATTCACCGGCTGTTAATTCCAGAGGAAGGTCCCAGTAATTTGTCCATTTAGACTTTTGGCTTTTACCTGGACCTAAGTTCTGTGTGTATATCCGTTTTACTGGCTTATTTGTTTGCCATTCCCTGCCTCACTGACAGATGTACTCCAACTTCGAGGGAAGATGTTCGGACTTCAAAAATGTAGACAGATCTGGGGATTTTGTGGAGAAAGCTTTGTCTAATGTGCTACTGAAAGACCAGTCTAACTGTCTAGGCAGGTATCTAGATCTACCAGCTCGCACATCTTTAGGACGATGACTGTAAATGGGTGGAAATATTTGGATGAGGTCAATAGGCCCCCTCATTATTCCCCAGATGAGAAAGCCT